TGCAGCATCACTCATGTTTTATGTCAACATTTTAAGATTTTAAAACTACAACGCTGCTAAACAGTTTAGAGATTTTGGATGGAGAAGCATTTTGTTAGGCTTGTCAGATATCTTTCTTGATATTGTATTTTCCTTTGTCACACTTGATTCAGAATGGTTTTGACTATCATATCATAATAACATTTTTGGTCGAAACGTGAGTTTGACTGGCCCGAGTCAAAGGAGCTGCCTCCAATTGCTGCCTCAATACTGCTTTACCTGTTATTATTTCATTAATACTAATCTAGAGTCTTCTAAGGTAGAATAATAACTCAAATGTATTACAATCCACTTTTTTTGCGTTTGTTAAGGCAATAGGGAATGTACATTGGTTGGACAGTGAAACTAAACACCTGGGGCCTCATGTACAAAGACTTGCGTTGAATTCATACTAAAACATTGCGTACGGACAAAGCTGTAAATGTGCGTACGCACAAAAAAAAGCAGATGGTAAAAAAGCAGTACGAAGGATCCCACGCATATTCTCTTTGTACATCCCAATTAACGTAAAATTGAGCGCACATGCACGAGCACAACGCCCCACCCAGTCTCCTACCCCAATTAAATTAATTTAAATATGGTAATTAGTCCAATTTGGCAAAAGAAACCTGCAAGAACATGGCTAAAGCAAGCAAGAAATGAAATTTCACTGAAAATGTCTTCTATGTGAATATATAGTAAAGTGTAATTTATTCCTGTGATCAAAGCTGAATTTTCAGCATCATTTCTCCAGTCTTCAGTGTCACGTGATCCTTCAGAAATCATTCTAATATGATGATTTGATGATCAAGAAACATTTATGATTATTATCAGTGTTGAAAACAGCTGTGCTTCTGCTTCATATTTTCGTGGAAACCATGATATAGTACTTTCAGGATTCTTTAATGAATAAAAACTTAAGTCAAACAGATGTCGAAATCTTATAATCTTTTGTAACATTATAAATGCATTTACTGTCACTTTTACTTGTCACTTCAAAAATATTACTTTCTTTTTTTATCTTTACTGACCGAATTAATGAAGTTTATTTTTTATTCCTAGTTAAGCCAATTGCTAGACGGGTTGTATCAATTTGGACATGCTTTATATATGTTCTTACTTAATTGCATAATATAATATTTTAATAAAACTCGTGTGACAATAATATGCCAAATAATTGATCAATTACAAATTATAAGCAATATCTGACAGCTGGTGATGCGATAGAACAATTCGTATTGTAATGTTTGCCACTTCACTTTATTGCCTCTATGAGTCGCCAACGGACAAAAATCACGACAAATATACGTACGCCAGACATGAAGTTTACTTGGAGGAACGCACATTCTTACGTTAATTTCACTGTTAGTACATCTGGCCGTGAACGTGAAAGCTGGCGTACGCTGTGTTTTTGTGCGTACGCAGTGTTGATACATGAGACCCCTGGTTTTAGACGACAATAATTTATTAGTATGGTGTAGGGCCTCCTTTTGTGGCTATTCTGGCCAATACAGCATCAATTCATCTTGGGAATGACAGATACAATACAAGTCCAAATACCAGAACAGTACAAATTTTGAGCCATTTCTCTTCCAGAAAAGTGACCAGGTCACTATGTGATGCTGGTGGAAGAAAACATTTTCTTGCTCCTCCAAAATACCCAAAGATGGCTCGAAAAAACTGCATCTGGTGACTGTGAAGGGCCATGCGAGATGTTCACCTTCACTTTCATGTTCATCAAACCATTCTGTCGCAAGTCTTGCTGTGTGTTTTGGTGCATTATCATGCTGATACACAACACCCCCATCAGGGTACAATGTTTGAACCATTAGGTGAACATGGTCCTCCAGAATGGCTCGGTAGTCAAGCATAGTAGGGAATGCCATGATATTGCAGCCCAAACCATCACTGATCCACCACTGTGCTTCACAGTCCGGGTGTCAAGCCTCTTTAGGGCTTCTACACTCCGTAACTCTCATGGATGTGGGAATTAGGAAAGACAGTGAAGGTGGTTCATCAGAGAACAATACATGTTTCACATTGTCCACAGCCCAAGATTTGCATTGTTGACACCAATGAAACCTACATTTGGCATTGCCATGAGGAACCAAAGGTTTGGCTATAGGAGCCCGACCATGAATATTGACTCTGTGGAGCTCCCGACAAACAGTTTTGATGGAAACAGGTGGAGTTGGGCAGCTGTTTTATGTTTTTTGGATACAATCCGGGTCAGTACCTGGACATGCTTCCTCTTGCGTTGACAGTTACGCCTGCTGGATGTGGTTCGTCCTCGTGTGGTGATATGCCGTTAATTACCCTGGATACTATAGCTCTCGATACACCACAAAGACTTGCTGTCCTGGTCACAGATGAGCCAGCGGTCCCGCCAACAAATGCACCAACAATTTGTCCTATTTTGAACTCTGATATGTCTCCCATTATGTTATGTGGTTTGCAATATTTTATGTACAGCTGTGCTAATGCTCTGCTAAATCAACCTTCACACTCTGCTCTTACTAATGAAATGTAAAATAAGTGAAGATTGGCCCCCAGGCTGCGCATATATATATAGGTGTGAAACCTCATACACTAAATTGGCCAGTGTTTCAGTTTTATTGTCCAACCCCTGTAGGTTTAGTGCTCAATCTGTGCACCCTTAAAGGGATAGTTCACCCAAAAATGAAAAGTCTGTCATCATTTACTCACCATTAACTTATTCCAAACCTGTATGAATTTCTTTCTTCTGCTGAACACAAAAGAAGATATTTTAAAGAATGTTGGTAACAAGACAGTTTGGCCCCATTGACTTCCAAAGTAGGACAAAAAATACTATTCAATGGTGTCCATCGACTGTTTGATTACTGACAGTCTGTAAAATATCTTCTTTTGTGTACAACAATATGCAATTCATAGAATTTTCATTTTTGGTTGAACTATCCCTTTAAGGGACTCAATAGTGACACTGAAACAGCTGGGGTTTACAATGCTCCCTGAAAGCCCATCCTTCATTATGATAACACCATTGACAGGCAACATCTTCATCTGCCTGAAGCAATCACATCTAGCTAAGCTTGAGTGGCTCATACAGAGTTCCAGTTAGGGGTAGAGTGTCAAATTCTATCACTTTAAAAGCCATGCGATCATCATTTGTGATGAAGAAATTATCCAGTAGCTAGAGTAATCTCTAGTTATCCAGTGGAAACTGTGATGATTAAATTATTTCAGAACCAGGACACAATATACAGACTAATGGTATGTTCACACCGAACGCGAATAGAGCGTCAAATACGCGTCTAGTTAGACGCTTGAACATTCGCTCGAGTTCAAATTTTTCAACTTGCGCAGAAGACATTCGCGGCAAACGCATCGCCCAATTCGCGTCATTCGCAACGCCCGGCGCGAATGATGCGTCTATTCGCGTCCTTGCATTGACTTTGTATGTAATCTACTCGCGCAAATAATTAAATTCGCGTTCGGTGTGAACACACCATAAGCCCTATTAGGAACTACACGTATTTTCTTCGTCCTTTAACTTGCACTTTGTCATGCTCCTTCCGTATTGTCCATGTCCATGAATAAAATGTCCAGATCACATTTCACACCAAACTTAAGTAAATATTTTCTTTATGCAAAACATTTTTATTTAAAGCCTTAAGAGGCTGAAAATGAACCCAATATTGATAGTTTGCATTGTAACATTTTGATCATGACAAGCAGATATTCCAATAATTCTCAATAATTCAGAGACTGTAACAGAATATAAAATCAATATAACAAACTACCATGATGAATAAATGCATTAAATGTATATGTTCCACATTATATTAATGAGAATTGGAGGTTGCATGTGTTTAATTGTCATGAAATGTTACAGTGCTATTTCCAAAATCATATCCTTTTTTTTTTAAAGCAAAATATAATTTATTATTTATTTCTTGTCATTTTTGAGTGAAATATGACCTGGGTGTATTTGTAGATGTACATGTTAAATTGCCTGGATTGCTATGTATCAAGTGTTGACATATATAAAGTATAATGAAATATGATAATTGCATAACATTTCATTTATAGCATACAATTTTTCCATCTCAGGCATTCAAGCATATTTCACATCTAATGGTTGGATCGTGATTTTTGGTTAATTGTTAAGCCTGACAGCCATTGCGAATGGCCTCAATTTCAACATGAATAAACTAAATGCACTGCTGAATGCATGATATGATTTGCCCAATTTACGTATTTTAAAATGTCTGTTTTATTACAAGGAATTATTAAAATCTTTCAAAGAAATGGCCACATTAAAATACGTCAGCACCCACAGGCTTTTCCCTCAGATAACTGCTAGCCAGCAAGGCACTACATCAGTTGTGTGGACGAACCAAGGCTGTTATTCACACTTCCCCATGCTCAATTGGCCACAACCAATTCCTCTCTCCTTTGCCTCAAGAGCAGAAGACGAGGCATATCCAGGCGTCACAATGAATTTCTTGACAGATAGAGTCAAAACCAGGTTGTGCCAAAAATCTTTGAACAAACTATGGACTGCCTAAACACAACGGACAAAAAAGACTTCATCTGACAAGGTTCTGATATTTATTTAATACTTAATCTAAACATACATTTGAATATGTCGTTTGCAAATATCTGTGGTACTGCAAAGAGGCAAGAGAATCCGTCGACATCGAAATCCTGCTGTCAACAAGATTTGGTGTCGTATCGACAAACATCTCAGAGAAACAGCCCCTGGAATAACATGTTTAGCTACAGACAACAACATGAAATCGTTAACTCTAGATGCGATGGCATTTATCAAATGCTATGAAGATTGCGAAACATTAATTCAAACAAGTGTCATTTTAGGATCTCAGTGATATCGAACCTGCAGTTTACAGTAGTTCTTGTTTTACCACATTCAGTTTTGGTGATCAGAAAAAGTACGGCAGACCGTGATGTGTTTTCCCTCAAACAATATTAGAGACCCTGTATTAATAATGAGCCGCCAAGTGCTCATCTAAAGATACTGTGTGATATTTATGTTCTCTCCTGGCTGACCCTTTCTGAAGAGTAAGTCACAAAATAACCCCCGTGTCAAAAAAAGAAATCAAAACACATTAAAATAAGTTAACAGGTTGACGAGAATATAAATGTACAGTATATACAATCACATACGATGAAAATATATCAACGCTTTAGTGTTCTAAAGGTTCCAAGTCGCCCGCTTAAGAGCTATAGATCATCAAATCAAAGTTGCAGGAAGAAAAAAATAAAGGAGAAAGATGCTGACTGCAGCAGTGGGAAAATAACCAAAACATAATAAGGCTTTCCTCACAATATCCCAGCTGTTAAAGCAGAGCAGAACCAAAGAGCAGCCGTCTTGAAAAGATAATATATCAACAGCACTAAACATGACAGGCACCCAGACTTTACCTTCGAAATGAAACAAAATAAATAAAAATATATTCATATATGTGTATATATGCTTATAAAATGAAACACTGAAAATCATTTCTCAAACGCAGTGTCGCCAATCAAAGGCAACATCCTGCTTTCTCCACCACTTTTTAGGAAACGTTTTTCTGTCTTTGTAGAATAATTCTGTACACTATATACTGTACCAGTAAACAAAATGTAAAAGTTTGTTTTTAAATATTTTTTACTTTTTTTTTATGTATACCCAGTGTATTGAAAAAAGTGTTGCAGGCACTTAAAGTCCATCTCCGACGTGTTGGTGTTTTTACAGTGGAGCGCCGACGCGGGAAAAGGGCTCGTTTGGTTATTCCTGGATTGTGTTCGATTCTGGTGAGAGGCGTTGCACCAGTCTCAGCCAAGGATGTCCAAGTAGACAGGTGTGGCTTTTCCCAGAGCGTAAAGGACTTTCTGAATGTCTTTGATGTTTAGTCGTTGTTGCGGCTCTCTTTGCCAGCAGCCTAACATGAGGTCGTACACCTCCTTAGGACACAGGCGAGGCCTGTCTAGAACCCGACCTTGAGTAATGCATTCAATGACCTGCAAAAGGGAGAGACACAGAAATGAGCAAATGTGTGGAATTGATTTAGAGGTGATACGTGCAATTTGTTTATGCTATTTCATATGCAGAGTCAAATATAAGTAATGTTGCACACCATGACTCGTTGTTTGAGCATCCCGACCAGGGGTGCGTTTCCCGTACAACGACGTAACTGTCACGCAGGTGGTAGAGTAATCACTTCTTTTAATGAATCTGTTTGAGATCGAATTAATGCTATATGTTCTGCTATAAATTACGGACATGGCATCTGAGGAATATTTCTCATAATTCTCAGTTATTTGGCTTTATTTCCAGATTCAATCATAGGCTCGTTCTTATGTAGAGAGTCGTTCAAAAACGACGCTTTAAATCTCTTGACAAACTACAAGACGTAAATGACGTGTATGTATTCTAAATAAAAGATACAGATTGTACTGAATGTCAGCTTGCTTATTTGGCTCAAGATAAGGGTTTGAGTCCACATGTCATACAAACAAGAAACTCTTACCACTGTGGTAAACTTCTAACCAAAGCTCGAGAGCTTTCGTTTAAACCACACATCTTTGCGATGCTGCTTTGCGAATGTTCGTTGGAAGTATGTTTCCGGTAAACACACGACTCGTTGAACTATGCTGATAACGACGGAACTTGTTGCGACCATAGTTGGCTAACGATGCTTTTGGGAAACGGCAGCAAAATTCGATGAAACAATGGTGAGGTTTTTGAGACAAACTCCTTGTTTGTACCATTCCCATAATTCACACACAATAAACTCCCAATAGATTCAGGGGCCGTTTACACAGCACCGTTTTCAACTAAAAACTCAAAACTTTTAATGTGTTTTGACCGTTCATTTACACGACAACAGCGTTTTGGGTGCCTGAAAACGCAAACTTTTGAAGCCGTGTTTCAAAGTGCAAGTTTTTGAAAAGGGTCTCCGTGTAAACAACAAAAAAGCAAATCTCTGAAGACGATGACGCCATGCGCATGCGTATTACGTGTGCAGTCTATAGAGCTTCATCGTCATCTAATGGCCTGGCAGCAGAATACAGGGTTTTTAGTCGTTTTCACGGATCCGTGGGAATGGGAATCGTTTTGACAATGGTGTCATCTGTACGCGGAAAACTCAAAGGAAAAACTTCTCCGTTTTAAGCATATTGTTGTTGTGTAAACGTACCCTCAGTGTTCACACTTTTGAGCCACGATTTGACAATTTTGTGAATCCTTTTGTGAAGTCTTTGATCGCTTGTTTAAAGTTCGCCAACAACTGATTAATGGTCATTGCGATCGACTTTTACCTCAGACGAAATTCTGCCAGTGTCAGAAGTCATGCAGTGCGGCTTCTCTCTTACGATAACAGTCAAATCAAAAACCAATAGGAGCACATGATGATGCAATTGAGACAGCAACAAATCACCACTTTGGGCAGTTGTGGCCTAATGGTTAGAGAGTCGGACTTGTAACCCAAAGGTCACAGGTTCGATTCTCAATACCGGCAGGAAACGACTGATTGTGTGGCTAGATGTAAGCTGCTAACCTGATCTCTGACAGCATGACACGACACCCCTCCAGTAGAGATCACACTCACATTCTAAAAATGTCATATTCACACTGACGTTCTAATAATGGCTCCTTTTCGCCATGTGTACATTTACCTCATTATTGGATAACTGAAACCATGGCTGTTTCCCATAGGTGAAGACCTCCCACATAATGACTCCAAAGCTCCACACATCACTCTCTGTGGAGAACTTCCTGTACATGATGCTCTCCGGAGGCATCCAGCGAATGGGCAGCATGGTGTGACCTCCCACCTAGAAGACAGATTACACATCAAGCATTGCTCACAAACATCTTACGTGGTATGGATGACATTTCCCTTTCTATGTAATCAAGCTAACAGCTTAGCCTACTACTTTAGCTCAAACTGGTTAAGAAAAGCTCTTTTGATTAACTAAAAGAAGATACAGTACATACACACGTCACAATAAGGCATTGTGGAGAGTTATTTATTACCATGTAAATATATATATATTTTTAACGCTCTGCAAAACGCAAAAAATATATATATATATATATATATATATATATTTTTTTTTTACTTTGTTCATATTTAAAAATTTAGTGCACATTTAGCTTCAACTTTTGCCACATTTTATATTTTTATGTGCCAAATCGTACCAAATGTCACTTGGAAATAGGTTGTGCTTAAAAATCTATCAAATTGGGTACCAAAAATATAACTAAACTTGGTACAAATATAGTCAAGACTAAATGCAGCAATTTCAGTGTTCAAAACCCAACCCCCCAAATGTTTTATTTGGAAGTGACAGAAGACTTTGTGTCCTAACTTTTTATGATTGCAAAAAAATTGTATCTATATTCATAGTTGCATAAATGTAATCTATATTGTGCGTAGTCGCCTATTTTGGAGTTCTCACCACTAGGGAGCTGGTCTTAGGGGGTTAAAGATGCAGTAAGCGATTTCTGAGAAACACTGTGGATTTTTGGAATCAACACCCAAAACAAACAAACCCTTACCCAAAAGAAACACACCCCTCACTTAATTGCACAAGTCAAACAGCTGGCGCATCAGACGGCTCGTATGGATGAATCAGCTTTAATTTAAGAACAACAACAGCTTACAGCAGCGTATCTTGATTCTGTGAAACAGCAAAACCAATGTTACTCATGTATCGAGCAGAAACAAAGCACGTTTTTAGGCATTCCCGCTCTCTAACACCTCTCCAGAACTGGAAAGTTTTGCCAGTATTAACGCGGGTCCAAAAGGTCTTACGTTATCGTAACCCGATTCACACAGCCAAGACTATGTACAAACACAATATTGTTTTCAACAGACACACACACACCCCAGACATCTAACAAATATTCACAAAAGTCTTTGTTTGGGTGTTGATTCCAATTTTTTAATGGTGCAGTAAGCAAAATCACTTGACCTATTAATACTAATATTTACTATTCTATATCTTTATTTAAAAAACACCTTGCTATGTGTACTGGGCTAGACTAACTGGGACTAGTCACAGCACTTGCGTATTGTTGCCCTATTGTTGGTTTGATTGCTTCTACTCACATGTAAGTCACTTTGGATAAAAGTGTCTGCTAAATGATTAAATGTAAATGTAAATCGCTTACTTTTACTGCAGCCATAGTTGACAGACCATCCGAGAGGTCCTTAATGAAAGCAACAGACAGAAAGTCTTCTTCACTGCTCATGTGGAACTCTTACAGTATGTAACAGAATAAGACTTAAAAACAATACAAAACAGCTTATCGATTATCCCGACCCACTCTGTAACACTTTTTGATACGAGAATGTAATAAATAAACAGCACAAATCCTTAGTATTTTTAAAGCAAATAATATATATTATTAGCTTCAATAATGATCTCATGCAAGTCCTCCGCTAGTTGAGCCAAATTGACTAAACAATAATGCATTAATTGTGCATGCACTCAGCTTCGATTAAAATGGCTTATTCTCAAATCTATTTCTTATTCACGTCAATTTCACTACATTCATCACGTTGTGCCGGCATGAAATGCCTGTGAAGAAGACTGCTGGGTATTGCTGGAGCCCTCCCAGCTCAGCGTGGAGTTCTCTTTGTAATTACTATTCCCTCTGTTGTTTGCCGTTACATTGATCTTACTTCCGGCTGGCAGAGAGCAGACTAATGAATGTCTACCGCCACATTAGAAATTAGCCAAGTAGGTTCCTGTGACTACTGTCCACTGCATATAGTCAATATCTTATCGGAATCCTTGCAGCCATGTGCTCTGTAAAGGTCTGAGTCAGTTTATTTGCATTTTTACTGCTCTTATTGCAAGTGCTAGTCAGGAGAGGGTGCGAAACAATGGGGTGAACAGGAAGTTTCTGGAAGTTGCGGTAACATCTCAAACTGGTAACTCAAGAGGGTAATCAACCAAAAAAAAAAGGTCTTCAAATAGTTACTCTGCAACAAGACAAGACATAATAGCGTCAAGTTATGAATTGTGTAGTGACATGTCATAAAGCAATGACACATGAAATCACACTTTTGTACTGTATCTGGGAGTGGTTGTGTGTCCATGAACAAAAAGATGACAGACATGCTATACATACTGTATGAAATTAATTAACAATATACTGTATAAAGAATGTCCTGTTACAGAAATTCAATGGAGTGCATTAATGAGTAATCATTGCTATTTGTCATTTAAGCTCTGATATGTTCTCTTTAAAGAAAATTCCGCAAACTAGTGATGTAGTGAAATAAAAAGCTGTATTATTCTTCTCATGTCAGTTCATTGCAGTACCCTGCAGTGAAAGGATCACTTTTGTGTTTTACTAAAAAAATACTGTACATCTGATTGCATAGCTAATTAAAAACATCAATATGTTCGGTCAACCCTTGTAATCAGCAAGTTTTATCTACAAAGACCTCTAAAAATAGAAAAATAGAAAATAGTAGTCGCATTTCTATTACCCTTCAAATTACCCTCGCATGAGGTGGTTTTTCAGGCAATTCGAAAAAGGAATATTTAGCAAAACTGCAATGGAAACAGTTTTTGCGCATTTACAAGTCACCTAACATATACGGACAGAATATGTTTGGACAGAAGACGAGACAGAGTTCTTTTTTAATCTCATAAAAGACCAAAGAATTACGGGAATACTGGATTTTAAACCACAAGGAAATGCCACAATCAAGACCTTGAAGCAGATAGGAGGGAGAAACACCCAGAAACACCTCATACTTGGCCGCTCCCAAGTACAAGGGGCTTTCCTTGCTATTAATGCTTGGATAACATGCCTATCCTTCGCTTAAAAATAATGGTGCGGTGGGTGGGATATATAAACCCACCAACATCCATTGCCATAATTATTGGAACGACTTATCGCGAGAAAAAAATATGACGTTTCAGTTGCATAACATCGGTTAATGGAAACGCCGTCATTTCGCAATAGTTTTTTATCGACATTAAGAAAATATCGCAAAAGTTTTGTGAAAATCTGTAATGGAAACGCTGCTAGTGTCTTGCAAGGTTGTTTGCCATTCAGAGTTAAATTGAGGTTGACTTTTAAATTCAAATTTGAAAATTGTACAGCAAAATACCTCAGTACAACAAACTTGTGCTATGTTAAAGTACATGATAACATACATGTATCTCAGCACACTTAGTAGTTCAAATGCTATTAGAGTTACTGGAAATATCCGTGTGAATTGTTAATTCACAATTTAAAGTAGCCGAGTAACAGTGATCTTAATAATAGACTTACAGGAGACACGCACATGTCCTGATCCTTAAATAATGCAAATGACTTTCAAATCCCTCATTAAGAGGAGCAACTAAAATTGGTTAAGCAATCATTCAACCCACAATCCACTGCATCACCTTGGGCTTTGTGGTTGAGACTAAAGCAATTAGCCTGGCATGGTAAAAAATTGATAAGCCCAATTGAAAATAAACGATTGGAAATGGAGAAAAAAAAAAAAAATCTCTCTGCTGATTGACCATATTTCCGTTCTGTCAGCATGGAGTGGGTTTCAGGAAGAAGGCAACATGTTTTTATCTTTATTTTGGTAGTTTGTAAACTGGATTACTGGCTAGTCTGTGGCTCAGTGGTAGAGGGCTAGATTGGATTATGGGTATGAAGAGCGAAGCAGCATGCTGGAGAATGGATTACAGCCCTGCTAGAGCTAGTCTCTAGGCTTTTACAATTTTATACTTAGTATCAGGGGAAGCAGATTTATGCATCCATGACCGATAACAGATTTCTCCAACCATTTAAAACACTTGGCTAAATATCTAGTAGAAACCGATATTAGAATTCATAAAGAAAATACGGGCTATTGAAAGTGATGACATTGACATTAGTTGTTTATAAAAAAAATCAAAAAAACTAGTGACAGGGTGACCATGTCACTTGTTTATTGTGTGTAATCAGTTATTTGTGGTGAAGACACAATCGTTGACAATCTGCAGCTTATTCATGGGATCGAGCCTGTGCTGTCATTTTCCCTGAATCTGTTTACAACCATCAGCGGCTCTAAACAGAGTTATCAAAAACATCTCATGCAAAAAGATACTCGGCAAGCCATTAGGTGGCAGGAAGTCGATGTGCCACTTATAACATCTTGACGAAGGCGGTTGAATTGGTCACTGATGAAAGTACCTCAATCTCTCTTCCAGTCATGCTCCATTCCTGTGGCCAGACGCTCGAGCCCCAGAGGACAACAAACGTCAATATGACTCGCCATGTGTGGATTACGTGCTTGGCAGGATCCGCTATTTATAATCACTTGACACAGTGAACGTGTCCAATGCGGTAATAATTTCATAATCCCTCTGCTTTGTCAATATTGAAGACTGGTTATAAGTGTGCGCATGTGCGGCTGATAAAAATGTTTCTGGCCTCCGTGAGACCTTCAGTTTACGACTGGCTTGAATGCAAAGACTCTCAACAATCCAATCTCTCTGAGATTTTGTTGTCCTTGCGTTTAACTAGATCTAATAGATAGCTATTGGTATTCCAAAAATGATCTTCCCTCATTTGTGCTATTTATTGATGGGATTGCAAATGGAACATAATTTTACCAAAGACTTAATATGTTCTGTCCAGGATGTTTATGCATAACCATAGCAGTTATTCAAGGTGCAGTCAGTCTTACTTTTCGGTATCAAATTAAACCAATATACGTTTTTATGTAACAGTCTTGAAGAAAAAAAATTGATGACTAAGACGTAAGACTATTCTTAGCGGTTTATGCAACTGGCCCCAGTTTAATCTCTATAAACAGCATATTGTCATAATGTTGATGTTAATGTTACCACAGAAAATTATTTAAACTAATCCATCAATAGAAAAAAAAGAAGCAGCAAAAATAATGATTATAGTCTTGACATTTACAATGGAAGTTATCAGGTAATGCAATAAACTTTAAAATATACAAAATGTAAACATTATATGTTAAAGTGAGACTAATGTGATTAAAATCGCTTGCTTTTCTTTTCAAAGTTATGCTACAATATTTCAACTCGTGTAAAGCAAGAATGCTTTCGCTAATTTTGTCAATACAATGAAAGTCAATGGGGTCCAATGTAATTTTGAGACAGACATTTTTCAAAATAGTCAAGAAAGTCATACAGGTTTGTACTGTAAATGACATTAGGGTAAGTAAATGATGGAATTTTCAATGTGAATTTTTTGTGCGTCAATCCCTTTGTAAGTGTTTTTATGTCAAGTAATTTGAAGGTGTCTTTCTGTGACCGTAGTTTTTGATTTTTATTTATTAATTCTTTTCGGTGGCAATATAGAGATCATTCAGAAGAACCCAGGACATTCCAATACTTTTGGTCCAGAAATGTGGACTTTAAGTCCAGAAATGTACTTGCAATGATGCTATAAAAAGTTTTTGTCAGCAAACATTAAAAGTAATGTAACTGTTGTGATACTTACTCGATAGTAATCAGAGCTGTATATGTCTCTGGACATCCCGAAGTCTCCAATTTTCACAAGCAGGCCGTTACCCACGAGGCAGTTGCGAGTGGCCAGGTCGCGGTGCACAAAATGCTGAGAGGACAGGTAGATCATGCCTGCTGCTATCTGTGAACCGATATGAAGCATCTGCGAGAGACCAAGTTCCCCGTTCGACTGCATCGGTTGGCCGTCCACGAGGATCATGGCATCTGGACCATGGGCTCTGAAATGTGGGGAGAAATTAATGTTGGTTACACTTGTTAGTCTTGGCAGTAATTGTCCTTCAGTGCTGAGCTACGTCCAGGTTTTTGCAATTACTTACATTTAGGATCCGAGCAGGGAAAATTGATTATGGATCAATTTAAAAGGGCACAGGGTCAAAATGTTCAAACGCACCGCCTTATTGCTCCATAAAATAATTCCCCCTCTAATCCTTTAATCCTGTAAAGCTGTCTGATTTGAAGTGAGTAAGTCAAGGCAAAGAAAGATGTGCTTTGACTTCAACTGTGGAGAAATAAAATCACCTATTCAGTTAACTTTTTCGATTTTCTCTTCACTCAGGGAAAATGATTTTTGTCTGATTGCAGCAGCATTTGCATAAGGTGGCTGTTGAAAAGGGCTCGACTGTAATTTGTGCTTCTCTTCTGGTCAGTGCCTCTTCAGCAGGGAGCTCTTCAACTGTATGTTTGAAGAGCTAACAATCAGGGAGCTAACAATCCAAGTGGGAGCTCTGCTTTAGAATGCAACAGTCTGGTTCCGGGAAAAGAAAGAAAGAATCCTATTCATTTTCTCAATAAAGAACTTGATTTGTAACAACATTTAAAAATATTTGATGTCTAAAGAGGTGATTAAGCCACCTAAGTCAGAGTGATTTCAATATCATTTTGGAAAATTTGTATTTATTTAGCCAAATTCCCAGTGAACTACAATACCCATAATCCTGAAGAGGGATTAGCCGATCAGAGAGTTTGCTGTTACCGTGGAAATGGGAATCCCACCAAAAGTGCACAGCAGCGACACTAGTTTCCCTACACTAAAAAAACCCCAAGTATCTATGTTGTGTATATACAGTATATGAATTTTGTGCAATAAACTTAAAAGTATTTCATACATACACTACCATTCAAGTAATTTTTTAAAGATGTTTGTCATACTCACAAAGGCAGTATTTATTTGATCAAAATAAAGTCAAATCTGTAAGATTTTCAAATACAGTATATAACTGTTTTCTTTTTTTTAATATATTTCAAAATGTAATTTATTCCTGTGATGCAAAGCTGAATTTTCAGCATCATTACTCCAGTCTTCAGTGTCACATGATCCTTCAGAAATCATTCTAATATGCTGAATAAAAAAAGACTATTCTTATAATTATCAATGTTGAAAACTGTTGTGCTGCTTGATTTTTGTGGAAACCATGATTTTTAGAATTTTTTCTTTTGAACAGCATTTATTCATATTTTTTAGTATCAACATAGTATTTCTTTAAACAAAAAATCATACTGACCCCAAACTTTTGAACGGTAGTGTATAATCAACAACTTCGTCATTAGTTTTATAATGTATCATCCTTTATGATTCAAGATGGCTGCCAATTTTTGGCTCTTTAAATGTCAATTTTTCTAAATCGTCATATAGCCTTAATATTGGGCTCAAATGAAAGCTCTGCTCATACTGAGTTCAGTTATGGACAGTAAAATTACATCATACACATAGGTCATCAGATGTCTGGGGTGGAACCAATGAAAGCAGGGAGACAGAGGAGATTCTTTAGCTTGGAGTTGTTTTTATTAACATTTTATTAACAAAAAGACTCTCCATCTGAATCTGTTGAATCTCCACACTGACTCCTCTCATCATCACTGCTACTCTCATCTGAGCAGTCATGAGGTGTGCGCTGCTGGGGCAAGGGGGGCAGGGTGTGACGCACTGATCGACACTTTCCGTTCACTAGTTCCCAGCCATGACCAATGGGAGAAGGATGCTCTTGCAGGTTGTAATGGAGCTGGCAATATGTAAGGTAGTTTGTCCTTTCCATATAAAGATTCAAAGAGTCATCATCAGATGGGAGACGGATTGTACACTTATTCTTCAGTTTGTGCCATTTGGAAACTCTGGCCTGCCCGCAGCTCACATCTGCACTCTCAGCATAAATGATGGAGAGGACAAATGCCTTCATATCCGCTCTGACTTCATGTTTTAATTCCAGACTCTCACCCACTCATCCCAGGAGCTCTCTTGCCTCAGAATTGATCTTCACCTTCTCCAACACCTTCTTCTTCCCATGCCCATAGAACCCTGAGGTGTGGTCACTGCCAGTGATCACATGGAGAGGTATGATGATATCTGCAACCTCTTCCGAGTAGGGATGGGCATTTAAAAAAAATATTGTATTTGAATATTTGGGCTCATAAAAATCGAATATTGGTTTATTTATTTAAATGACGTTTAACAAGAAAGCCGTTATATTTTAAGTTTACGTTTTTGTCACCATTTCTGAACAAGCTTACGATTAGGCAATATACACCAGGGCTCAACATAAAAAAAAATCCCCACTGGCCCCCAGGGCCAGTAGATCAGAGTTTTGCTGGCCCCTTCTATATTTTTACTGGCCCTGAAAGAAATAGAATCAAAAGCACTTTTCCATTAAACTGTATTTATTGTATACATTAGGATTCATTTTTCTTGTCCCCTCACAATGACAGTAAACTAATTATTACATTACATGAGTGATGAGTTACATAGGCTATATTTTCACTTCAAAATGGCGAAATTAGACAAAAGTATATTAGTTTGCCTGATTATTTTTGTCATACGTTTAACATTTATGACCTAAAAAACTGTCAATGAAGAAAAAATGAAGAACGCGCTGAATCTGATTATAACAAGACTGAAGCGAACACAAATTTGTGTAGCTTACACTTAATCACACATTTTTAGGGGGGCTAGGCAGAAGTTTAGGGGGGAATTTGATTACACTATTTTTAGATAGCACTCGGCAGGCCGGTTATGCATTTTGCATTTTGGTCGGCTTTTGTTGTAAATTTCCGGCAAACGAAACAGTACATGCCCTCATCGCCTTTCTCCAGCCAGGTGTACTGCGTTTTCCATGACACTAGGAATTAGGACTGGGCGATATGGCCAAAAAATCATATCTCGGTATTTTTTGGTTAAATGGCGATATACGATATATATCTCGGTACTTTCTACGTTTTTCTATTTGGATAAAGAAAATCTGTATTTATTTAAAAAATATATATATTTCACATCCTGCTTAATGATATCCAAACCATGTTGATATTGAAGGATATGGAAACAAATATAGTGAATGTAATGTAGGCTATGCAATATATTACGTGCAAAAAGGTGGTTAAAATCACATTACATTCTAACATTACAATCTAAAAACAAAAATAATGCTTTTGTTTTTAAAATGACTAAGGCTAAACTAAAAATGAAAATAAAAACAAAAGCACAACTAATTATATTAGCCTGCATTTGATTACCCCGTTATAATGCTCACTTTCATAAAAACATAGGCCTACTTGTAGGTTTAAAATTCCACATATGGCACATTTATTGTCTCCAACAACAAATATTTTAGCAAGATGTATATTTTAGTCAGAATTATTGCGCTACTCTTCTATTGTGCCCGTCTGTTAGGCGCGCGTGCTCGCGGCAGCGCTCGTTCACGGAAGCTTTAATTTTAGCGGAGATTCACTTGCAGAAGCTCGTCCTCTCCTGACAGTGAAATGGACATATTTGTTTGACTTTCTAACATTTACAGATGGAGAGAATATACCTGTAAAATGTAAGTTAAGCACTGAGGAAAGCACCACGTCTCAAACGCATTAAACAGCGCAAGTATTTATCTGTCAGTCAGCAACAGTATCTGTCAGAGCATCTGACAGGGCAAGCTGCTTTAAACTTGTTAACTATATCTTACCAGTTATTTTGAAGTGCTTAATATAAGCTTGTGTCATGTTTAGGACAAATTGTACTATGTTTTTTCACTGCAGGAGCTCACACTGCGTACTCCGCTATTTTTCAGATGTGCTCGTATCAAACTACTGTATCGATATAAACAGTAGCCTATATTGCCTCATTCCATATCGTTTAAAAAAAATCGATATATTGTACAAACTCGATTTACCGCCCAGCCCTATAGGAATGCCCTCTTTCTCGTATCAGCCTCGTAGTTCTTTTGACATTTTAACACGTTATTATAACCTGAAGTAACATTGACACTCTTCGCGCCACTGTATATGACGTTTGCTGTTTGTTTTGCTGATGGCCATTCACTGGCCCGCGCGGGCCAGTGACTGGCCAATCAACTAGCCCGACATACTCTTTTACTGGCCCCGGGCCATCGGGCCATTGCTTATGTCGAGCCCTGATACACATCCAGCTTACTATCCTATCTTAAGGTATACCCATAGGGGTGGTGATGACGCAGTGGATAAGACACATGGCTTTGGTGTGAGAGACCCGGGTTCGAATCCACTGTGAGACACCAATGTGTCCCTGAGCAAGACACTTAAACCCTAGTTGCTCCAGAGGCATGCGACCTCTGACATATATAGCAATTGTAAGTCGCTTTGGATAAAAGCGTCAGCTAAATGAATAAATGTAAATATCAAAAGCATTTAAGCTCAAGCAGCACGAACGGATAAAGCAGACTGCACAGTTATTGTACAGAACGTACATATATACTCGAGTCAGCATATGGTTATCGTGTTTATTGTTTAACGTTCATGTTGAGAAAAACAATAATATCCACATGCTCGGGTGAGAAAACGCGCTGCGCTGACAGACGTTGCAGAGACACAAAGATAACGGTTTGCTAAGCGAAGTTTCTAAAAGCACTTTGGGTTTTCTGTTCTTAAACCTGTCTCCCTCAACAAAACTTAAAGGAAGTATATGTCTCAAAATCATTTTGCTATCAGAAGATATAATATCTGATCACTCGCGCTACATCTGCGCTTACCTGCAGTCATTAATGCAGTGATTCCTCATTTGACTGCTGTTTGGATTTCATGTGATTTTTCATTGTGGTGGTGATTTTATAACTCAGTTTCATGAATTAATTTGATTAAAGTACTTCCATTTTAAAGGTATTGTAGGTAGGAATTTTATAAAAAACATTTTTCCAAATTTGTTTAAACTTTCTATATATATCAATGCATAATTAAAATGTAAGTACTCTGATAAAAAGAGTATACA